ATAGCACTAAGATATCGAGGTGAAATTTATTATATAATGAAACAATATAAAGAATCAATTGCTGACTTAAAGAAATTATTAAAAATTAAGCCTGGTGACAAATGGGCAACAGAAGCTCATAAATTAATTAATAAATTGTAAGTGAAATGTGTATTTGTAAATTTAAGGTTTCAAAATTTATTACTAACCCACATACTTTTTTGTTACCTATATAGGAAGTAAGTTCTTTACATGCATACGGCATTGTTTTTTTTTTACAGTAGATAATCGTACAAATCAATGCCCTATCGAACGTTAATTCTAACTAATCAATACTTTTTGTCACCTATAGTCGGTAAGTTCTTTACATACGACTTTTTTTTTTTTTTACAGTAAACTAGTCCTAGCTGAAGGTCACTAATCTTTTTTAAATAATATAATATATAATTATTTAATAAAGACCAAGATGCCAGGCCCTTTTTTTAAAAAAAATCAATATATATATATATATTAAAAAAGTTATTATTCATCACTGGTATGATGCAACACTACTCCTAATCAACCAATCAGAATGCATAATCTGGTATAATATAAAAAAAAACAATTGCGATTTTTAAAAAAATCACTTCTAACTTAACATTTTGTCTATAAACCTGCATTTTATACTAACACAATAATTCTTTGCAAAAATTTTGGGTTAAAAAAGGTTTTTATTAACTATATATTATCCTGGCCAAACCTAACTTAACCTAACCAGTTGTTTTGTTTTAATAAATATAAAATTAAAAAACAAATTATTGGTTGATTGGGGTATTTGTTTTTTTAAAATACTTTATCTAAACATAGTTTTAATAATTAAATAAATATGCAAGAGTACCAAAAAGTTTAAAAATATTAAGCCAATAAAAGACCAAAAAATAACCAGTATATAAATTATTAAAAAATCTAGATCTTCAAGAAATAAAAAAATAAAAATTGTTAAAATTGTTAACAAAATATTGGTAAAAATCCATAGAAACACAACCAGTAGTGATAAGGTCTTCAAAGAATATTCCAAAGGCCTCTTTTTACTAAAGTAACAAAAAATTAGTATATAATAAAACATATAGATAAAAATAACCTTTAATTTATTACCTGAAATGAACATTCAAGAAAGTATAAATATTCAGAATACTAAAATAAAATGGCATAAACAAAAAATATTGTATAGAGCAAGTAAACATATGCCAAAAATCTAATGCAAACAAACTCGCAAGCAGATTCACAATCAAATATATAATTAATGAAAAAATTATACTAAATTTCAAAATAAAATCATAATTATAGTTATTACAAACAATATATATTTTATAACTATAAGAATTATAAATAAACATATCACAAGAAAAAAATTGGTTAGATTACTTCAAATACAACAAAGTAATAAGTAAAAAACAATTATAATAAAAAATATAAAAGGTTTAATTCCATGCTATTTAAATCTATATAAAGCAATATTATATAAATACAATATTGAGAAATACATGAAGAAATAAAAATTACAACATATTAAGAAAATGAATTTACATTTGAAGTCGATCAATTATTGCAAAAAAAAGATAATAAAAGATCAATGCGGAATAGCTTACATATAGGGTATCAGAAAAATATCCATAAATCCCAAATATCCAAGAGTTTAAAGAAATTCTTCCAAAAATGAAATAAATTGAAAAAAAGCTGCCCTAGAAAATAAAAATTACAAAACTATATATAACATAAATGAAACTGATAAATGATATACTTACTAAGGCAAACTACGAAAGAAGAAAATTCAATATTTCATATATAATTTTGATATGCAATAAGATTTTATGGGCAATAGAGTGCTTACTCCCCTAAATATGATAAAAATTTGTAATAGCATAAAAACTAGCACAGAAATATGTATTTTTCTGGCGAATTTCTTGATAGATCAATTCAGATAAATTTTTAGGTGCTATTGTTTCAACATGAGAATCTTTTTCAAAATATAATGTCCAAGGATAGTTATGGTTTGTAGCCAATTCAAAAGAAAGACCATTACCTTTAGTAAGATACATAATAACAATTGGAATATTTTCAATAGATATACTATCAACATTTGTAATATCTATAAGTGCAGAATACCGATATACACAGAAGTTTTCAGGTAAAGAAGTAATATGACCAAAAATGATTCAAATGGCTTATCCAGAATATTTGACATTTTAGATTTGAAATTTTGTGCACCCACAAATGGATTTAGAAAATTGATTATGCTTCTACCTTTTATGATATTTATTTTATCACAAGCACCTGTGACCAGTGTTAGATACCTGATGTTCTCAGTGTTCTCAAGAACATTAAATATATTTTGGGAACATTAAAATTAAAATTATGTTCTCTTTTTGAGAACATTTGAGAACATAAAATTTGTAAATTTAATTATAAAAAATTTTTGCGAACATTAAAAATTTTTTTAAAAACATTAAAAATTTTTCTTGAGAACCAAAATTTATAATTTATGTTCTCAAAAAACACAAAAATTTTTTCAAATATCCTTCACTGCCTGCAACTTTGGGATTTAAAAATGCCTTCTATAAGCAATAGATAGATTTGTGGCCTTGTAAAAAATATTAAAATACAAGAAATATCAGTGTCTAGATGGTGGTTATATTAATAGCATATAACATTGCGGACAAATTTTCCAAAGTATGTTCACAGTAATTAATTAATACTGAAATTTTTTGAAATAATCAGTATAAGATCATTATTTAATATAGTAAATTAACTATCTGGCACTATATTTTAATTATTTTATGCCATGTATTCACTCTGACTCTGAAAGTTTTACAAAATTTTTTTTATCAATTCTATTAGATTTTTTTTTCCAGAACTCATTACTGTGAACGCTTATTGCATTTTGCAAAAAGATGTGGCCTCAGCAGATCACGATGACATCTGATAATAAAAGATTTTATAGATTCTAAGAATTTCAAAGAAATATAAACAAAATCGATTGAAAATATAAATAAACAATCTAAGATCTCAAAATTTCCTCACAACAACCATGTGGTTATTTCTTTTTGCAAAACGCTATAATCGGTGCAATTTACAAATTTACTACATAAGTGCTACCAAGGAAAACCTGTCATTGAGTTTTGAATTATAGTTTGTGTCCAATTTGTTCATAAGTGCCATATAGATAGTGATATGGGCCGATGCCAAACTCTCGGGCTGACCCACCTGTCAAAATTACTCAGCCCGGTCGGCCGGGCCGACCATATTTTTTAAAAAAACTTTTGGTCTATAATCACATAATTTGATCTCCTTTTCAATGTGAAAATGGCTAGAATTACGTCACGATACTTATCACTATTTTCGATAACTAGAAAATCAAATTCAAAGAGGTGCTTGAGAACATTCTATATACGATTAAAATTCATCATTGAATAAAAATAAATAATAATAATTTAGCCTCAAATAATTTAAAAATAAATAAATTAGATCAAATTATATTTTAAATTAAATTATATTAAAAAAATATATCTATAAAAAACATCGTTCAATAAAAATAAACCATCGAAATAGAATTATAAAATAGATATTTAAAAAAAATTATCGTCCAATAAAAAATGTCAAAATAAAATTATCACATTTAAGTCAAAATCAAATAATTCTGCTCGGAATATTGACTAAAAAGACCCTATAATTAAAAATTAATCTAGAAAAAAAACCAGAACTAAGTAAAAAAAAAAGTAGTTGCATCGTTTTTTATCTTATTCTTCTATGCATTTTATTTGTAAACTATACATTGGCCGGGCTGGCCCACAGAAGTACGGGTCGACCTTCAACCCGCCTGCCCGCCCGGCCGATGGGCCAGGATCAGCCCATATCACTACATATAGGTCATCACAAAATATAATTGAAGCCTAATAATAGGTTTCTCTAGATGACGTTTAGAGAACAAACCAGACACAAGATATAATTGAATGCCTGATGAAAGGTCTCACTTAGTAGCACTTATATATCAGTGACAGTGTTTTAAAATGTATAAAAAAATCATTTTAAAGCAATATAAAATTGATTAAAACATTATGTCTTAAGTCATTTTCTATCCTTAATCAATTAGTAAAAGCCAGAAACTTCCATTTTTCATAGACCATCTCTCAATTCATTTTTAAAAAATTCATACCCCTCAAAATTCCATGAAATTTTACAATATTAGGATGATTAACCATATAAAGAAGTTTAAGCTATAAAATTATATCTTAATGTATGAATATAAGGCCAAATAATTAAGACTGATAATATAATTCATTACCTCTCGTTTAAATTGGTTGAATGCTTTATCATCAAAACTCAGGTTTATGTTTAGACTTTTTAACGCGTATCGTTTTCCTTGGAAAATGACCGAGTAGACAACTGCATATCCCCCTTTCTGATGATTTTGCGGTCTCTATGTTGTGAGTAATCAAAACTTTTTATATTGAATTCTTTTAAATATATCTCCAGCTGCTTCGAATATTCAATTACTAAAATATGGATATTGATAAATTTACTTATTAATTATTATTAAATAAACAATTTTTAACAATATTTCTCACATGTCTTTTCTGACATGGCTTAGATTAACAGTCAACAAAAATTTTTGATTTTGATACTGTATAATTATGCGCTCGTTCATAATTGTGAAACATAAATTTACCCAAATTTGCATGTTTTAGGTAGTGTTCGCACAAAAAATTGGTCACCTCTGAAATTTTTTACCAAGAATAAAACTGCATTGTAGTTTGGGTTAGAGTTAAAATAACGATGCTTAAGAGTAAAATTTCACGAGGAGCATTTTTAATTAGACCGCAAAAGGTGGTTTCTCAATTAAAATTTCGAGTTATTTCTTTTTTCTTTTTTTTTTTGTAAAAAAAGTGGTTTCGCTTCGATTGTTTATGTTACACCTGATCTTGAAATTTGATTGGTCAAAAATCACGGAAGTGAACAAATTTTTATGAGAGAGCTAGGGGCGTCAATTTGTATTTGGGCTTCGGCTTACGTAAATATATT